TTTTTTGGTGGGTATTAGCTGGAGTATGTGCTTTTTCTTGGTAGCAGAGAATGTTCTAGAAGAGTTAGGAGCTGGTGTGTTCATTCTCCTATGTCTAAGGAAAGCCTTCATGGCTTCAGGTAATGCATTGGTAGTAAGGAACAATGATTAACTTAACGTACCAGCATTAGGTTAGAAAACAACAGTTGGTAAGATGTTCAGAAGACATTTTCTACTGGGAAACCAAAGTCAGGAGAATTGATTTTCTGAAGGATAATGTATATTATCAATACTAGCAAGGACAAAGGTTTCTTTGTTCATTCACAAATTTCTTATTTTAGAGGATAAAACTTAGCATATATTTAGGATGTGCAACTTGTTGAGTACATTGTATACTACATTACACAGAGAGCTTGCTATGGTTGCGTTTGAGAAAGACTGCAAGGTTTTGTCATGAATTCTGGGACTGAATATGGCTTATATAAAATTTTTATGTGTGCCTGAAGTAATCATTACAAGCACATGGTCTCAAGTGGAATCTGCAGTCAGATGTGTACTCAAAAGTAGATTTATACCATCTGTGGCTGTATGCAATTTTTCTTTAAACCCATAACCCTATCTTCTCCACAAAAATAGCAATAAATAGAAACAGCAAAAACCTGGCCTTCAAGAAGTCATTACCAGAAAGAATCACTTTAGGAAAACCCAATCTTACATTATTTCAGAATGAATCTAAAGCAACTCAAAAGGGGAAAAAAGTAACAATAGAAAAAAGGAGATGGTAATGGAAAGTATGTTCAGGAAAATCTATTTTTAAATTTTATTTTGAAATAAATCTGAGGCAATTAAAAAGAAGAAAAATGATAATGGAAAGTAAGACTAAATGGAGCTCAACATAGCAACCAGAAGTCCCTCTTTTTCTGGAGCTGTCAGAGCCTTAGCTACTAGGGTCATCTCCACCTGCCCCTCCTCCACCTGCTCTGAATCAGTTGCAGATTCAGATCCCAGAACATATTTTCATCTCAACCTCCAATTTCCAAGCCCCTCCTGTGCTTAAATTGTGGGTCTGAAATAAAGCATATAGCTCCCTTTTGTTTCTTTTGTTATAAAGACTCTTCTGTCTACAACAGTGATGTCTATACCAACAATAGCCACCATTTTTGGGTATTTGCTATGGTCTTGGTACCAGGGTCCTTATTTATCATCTCACTTAATTAGTGAGCTAAGTACATTCATTCTCCAGTATGGAATGGTTTTCAGGAGCCAAAATTCTTTAAATTGTTGGTATCACTTGTGAGTGGTGCAGATCACACCACACTATTATTCCAAAAGTTGGTGTTGGGGACACCCTTCCCTATCTTAATGGAAAGAGTTTAGTATTTGAGGGCTAATTTTCACTGTTAACTTGATCAGCTTGCAGACCTCCTGGGAGATCAGTAGAGCACACTTGGATGAGTCTGATGGGTCATGGGGCCTGACTTGGGGATTATATCTGGTCCCCAGCCTCTTCCTCTCTGGCCTCTTCCTCTCTGACCTTTTCCTCTCTTTTCCACTTCCCGACTGCCATGAGGTGAGCAGCTTTCCTCTCCCAGACCCTTCCGCCATGAAATTCTGCCTTGAAGCCAGTGACCATGAACCGAAACCATCAGCCCAAATCAACCTCTCTTCTTTTAAATTGTAAGTGTTGAGTATTTTGTCCTAGCAAAGGAAAGCCAACTAATACAATATTTAATACTTGGAATTCATCAGGGCACCGTATCTGTACACAAATTGCATTCTGTACTTAATGTTGATATTTTCGGCTCTTTTAATAATGGAGATTTCCTTTTTTATTTAAGTCTAGCATTTAGTATGAATACTCCAGTCAAGGTGCTTTCATTTCCCTATTTAATCTGGATATTTCCATAGTCATTAGGTCACCCATATATGCAGCATATAATTTTAAGTAAAAATTAACTAGACAAATATGTCAGGAAAGTCTTTAATAATGTATAAAAGGTATAGTGGTCTAAACACTTATTAAACATTAACACCAAGAGCTACTATTTTTTCTTTTTATAAAGAATAGAAATAACAACCCCTCTTGTTTATATTTTGTGTTTTTTTTAGGCTCCAGTAAACTTCATAAATGAGTCACTTGGCATCAACAATCCTGCTAAGGACTAACACAGCCTCGTTTTATTCCTAGAAGCTTAACATATCAGAAGATTTTTACTCTCCTATCAAAGAAAACTTTTGTAAAAAAAGAAGGAAAGATAATTAGGCAGTTCAGAAACCTGCTAAGTTTAGGCTAAACATCAGTCAGAACAGCACTATGTTTCTGGAAATCATGGAAACTATGTTGCTTCCCCCTGGAAATCACAGAGATGACCTTTGAAAACCTGCTGGCAGAAGAATGTGGCTGGTGACTAAGTGAGAGGTATATTAAGAGTCTCCCACGCACTGTTTAACACACAATAAAGAAATGCTTATTAGTAACAGGAGGAAAGGAAGATGTATGGACCAAAGAACAAAGGGCTGCTGGGCTGAACCAACTGCATCTCAATGGGAAAAAGTGCACCTGGGAGCTTCAGGAATTGAAATATATTAAAATGATCCCAGAGAAGCAGGAGCTAAAGTTGAACTCATATTGTTACTTAAAAAATGGAAAAATAGGAACAAAATCTTTGTAAATAGGGAGGACTGGAGGGGTTGAAGGGAGGGCTGGGCAAGGGTGAAAAATAAGAGCCAAGAGAGACTATGTAAAGGTGCAAATTTCCAATGATGAATGTCATTATATTGTATACCTAAAATGTACCAATGATTAGAATGAATAATCGATAATGCAAAATAGGAAGAAAAGGTCCAAAGGGGTAGGGGTAGTGGGAGGGGCAGGGGAAAGGAAAGAAGGGAAAGGAAAAATGCTGAGAAATGGAAAAAATGGAAATAAAGTCTTTGTAAATAGGGAAGGGTGGAGGGCGTGAAGGGAGGGCTAGGAATGGGGAAAAAATAAGAACCAAGACGCATTATGTAAAGGTACAATTCCCAATGAGAAATGTAATTGTGTTGTATACCTACAATGTACCAATAAAAGAATTTAATACAAAAAAAAAAAAGGCTGGGATGAGAGACAGCCTTCCCGTTGCTACCAAGAAAAGCCTCCTGTTTTCTCCATTTATACATTTATCCCACCATGAGAAACAGACTTTCATTTGCTCTCTACATACAGAATCTCAAAGCTGGGCATGTCAGGGCACACCTATAATCCCAGCACTCTAGGAGGCTAAAGCAGGAGGATTGCAATTGAAGCCCAGTGTGGGCTACTTAGTCACTTAGGAAGACTCTGTTTCAAAATAAAAAAAATAATTAAAAAAGGGCTGGGGAAGTAGTTCAATGTGAAGGCCCTGGGTTCAATCCCTAACTCCACCAGAAGAATGTCAGATGACTGTTCTCTTCTGTTTCCCACTTTTTTCCTTTTAGAATGCCCATTATTGCTGTGGGTAGAGAAGAGGAATTGGAGACCAAATCATCAAACTAACAGAATATTTTGTAACCAATAGCACAATCTTGTGGAAATTTACTCAGATAATTTTTCAGAACCCCTCATCTTTAGTGAATGCATTTCTGGTTTTTATTCTATCTGTTATTATTTTGTTGTTGTTACTATACAACCAACAAATATTCCTAGTTCTACTTAATACAGCCCTGGCAAATTTTCCTTGTCTCGGACAGGAGTTTTAGGTCTTGTTGATGAACTTTCGATGGTAATCAGTGAACAACTGGTAATTTAAATCCGTATTTCAAGAAACAAATAAGGAAAATATAATATTTTCATTACAGTTTAAGACAGTAATTTATTTTGATTTTGGCAACAATTTAGCACTCAAGAAATACTTATAATGATTTGTAACAGAACTTTATTTTGTTGGATGAGAGTGGAAATTCTTTACAAAACTATAAATGCTGTGTATTTCCATATAACCCCTCTTTGGAATGTCTTTTAAAAAGAAATGCATTTTTTATATTGCACAAACACTCCTACATTCTGTGGAATTCTTATTATGGCGTACGCTTCATTGATTGTTTCATAAATTCTGTACAACATAGGGGATTTTTTTTGCTTCAAAGGAAAACTCTGTGTCGTTCAGAGTGCACACTTCCAGGTTATTGGATTCTTATTTTATGGGGCTCTGCACCTTTCTTGGCCTCTGAGCTATTTTACAACTAAGTTGTGGATAATTGGTAGCAATGTAAAATGCTTCTTGTGTACACATAGTAAGTAAACCATGTCTTGTGGAGGTCCAACTGACTTCCTACACTGTAAAAGAAGCCAGCTTTTTCTCTGCTTGTACATTCATTTTAATATTTCTAATCTTTAAATGATCTCTTCTTTGAACTGATTTTAACACCTTACTGATTTCTTCATTGATAGTGACTTAAAAAATAAGTTATATACAATGGTATCCTATGTTTATTTTCTATGAAAATTATGACTTTACATTTATTTATTAGGAATACTATTCAATAGTAATATAAAGGAAAAATAGGATTTTGAGTGGAAAGTTTTAAAAATAAGATGTGCATAATCTCACAGAGGGTTCACAACCACTTCTTTTTGTTGTTTTATTTTTGTTTTGGATTGTATGTTTTTAACTTTCATTCAGCTGCCATTCACTTTTTAAATCACAGTTAAACTTTCTGATGGGTGGAAAAATCGATGCAGCAATTAACAATTTAAGTTTGGACTCCATAACACTAAAACATAAGAATAAGCCTATCAATTTAGTCATTATTTTAAAATGATACTTTTTTGGGCAACAATCTAGTGCTCAAGAAATATGTATGATGATTTATGAGACAACTTGGCTTCACTGGATTGAAGAGACAGAAACTCCTCAGACAATTATGACTGGTGTGTATTTTCCCATACCTTCCTTTTGAAAATTAACATTTTCATTGAGATCATCCATTGGAACTATTATATTACAGTCAAAGGAAACATTTCACAATATCTGATAAGTAAAACAAATTTTTATACTTACTGTGCCCCACCAGAGAGCATCTGCATATGTAGAAAACTCTTTATTGGCATCCTTTTCCACCAAATAGACAAGGAAAGATGAAAATATAAGAACCAAAAATCCTATGTACCAAGCTGTGATTAATTCCTAGATATAAAAAGAATGGAAGAGTATTAGGGGTGAAAAAGGAAAAATAGTTTAAGAATGATTCCATTCATTTAACCACTTGTTGGATAGTCATGATGGCTTAAAAATAATCTGTTATATATCATGTCCCAAAATAAATTTAACCAGTTTCTGAAATGACTGTTTGCTTGAGACAGGTTTATTAAATATTACAGTAATCACTGAAAAAGTTTCAGAAATTTTGTTCTAAAGCTAGGAAAGCAAATCCTACCTTGCTGTGAGCATAAACCACGGAACCTAGTAATTTCCAAGTGCCTCCCCTTCGGTCCATGCGCACCATGCGCAGGATCTGTAGGAAACGAAGACTTCTGAGTGCAGACGTGGCAAAAATGTTACCCTGAGTTTTCGCAGAAACAACTGCTATTGATGCGATAAGAACAATGGTATCTGAAAGAAATAGGTGGAGACAGCCATAAGTCACATGACTAGGAATTTTGATTTCTCAAAACCGTATCTGTGAAAGTTTAAGTTGGATCCTCTTGAAGCGGAAATGAACATACTGTGACCCTCAGTCTCTTCTAGTGCCACTGGGTCGCCCTGTGTTGAGCTGTGAAAATGGTACTTGCTTGGTACAGATATGTCACTCATTTTCTCGCCAAACAAATTTGTACCCCCTTTCTGTTAAAAATTTTCTAATATTATTTGCATATGCAAACCACTTTGTATACAGTTTAATAAAGGCCTTAATACTCTAGGCTTTCTGTCCAGAGTAGTCCTGATCCCTAGTGAACGTTTGGTGCACCAATTAAATGACATTAAATTTTTATAGTAGAATATGTAATTACACATACTGCATCGTGTGGGAATGGGTATACTGAAATTTGTCTTAAAATATCTGCCCTTTTGTAAGCAAAAAAGATGAAGAGCAGCTAATGAAAGCACAGAAAAGATAAAAGAGGATTTGATCACTTCAAGAGTAAATATCTGAGTGGTAAGAAGTTGATGTGGAAGTAGTAAAAGTGAAGTGGGGATGAATGGCCTGCTGTGGCAGCTTTCATAAGTGAGTTGATCTTAACATCCTCAGATAAATTTTCCCTCCTGTTTCAAGTGGGCTGTGCGTGACCTGGCTTCCACACTCCAGAGAGGAGCAACACTTCAGGGTGCTGCGACTGTAATGTTTCTGTGATCCTCAGCATTGGCTGCTGCATGAATGTGTACTCTTCATTCAGCTCATCCTTCTTACTGCATCAGCCTCCTGGGATGGGCTGACGAGATCCTGGGGCCCCTGGAGAGAGGCTCAGTGATTGGCAGTAAGGGTCAGCCACAGGGCCCTTTCCAGTCACATCTAAATTCTAGGTGGTTTTGTGGGAAGGTGCTCTGAGAGCTCCAGTGCATCCTTGGGTTCCTGCTCTTGGCAGTTGAGGGGAATGAAAAGGAACTAAATGCATCGATGCAGACATATTTTTAAGTAAATAAAAGCCACTTGCAAAAACAGTATGGATAATGTGATCACACTGAAATAAAAACATGTATTAGCATAGAACTAGGAAAAACAATATGTACAGATTGTTACTATTAATTATATCTAGAGGTAGAGTTAGAATGGTATGTAGATAAAAGGACTTTTCACTTCCAAATTACTGATTTCTATAAAGTTAGAATTTAATAAGTATGTGTTTTGAAATGAAAAATATAAAGAAAAGTTAGTGCAAACACAGCTCGTGGTTTTCATCACTTGGAGGGATTTACTTTTGAGATTAGTGATTTAACATGATATATATATATATTTCATTGTAATCTTCATCTCAATTATAAAAAGGAAAGATATAATACTTCTTTTACTATTTGAAAATATTTTAAATAGTAGAAATAAGTAGATAGCTAATAAGAGTTCAGAAAACACAGCACTGAAAAATTATTATTATGCTTAGCATTTTTCTATGGTTCCATGATGTTAATCTTTTTTTTTTTTTTTTTTGGTGCCAGAGATCGAACTCAGATCCTTCCGCTTGAGCAGCAGGCCGCGAAACCACTGAGCCAAATCCCCAGCCAATGATGTTAATCTTAATTCTTATAAAACTTTATGAATTAGGCATTCTATAACCTCATTTTACAGATGAAAAAATGATGTGTAAACTGCATGTCTTCACTTTTAAAAAAGCCACCTATCAATCTGTGAGACTATAGCACAAAAAGTATGCTATGAAGTTTTTTTTTTTTTTGGTACCCGGGATCAAACTTGGGACCTTGCACTTTCGAGGCAGGCAGTGGAACCACTGAGCTAAATCCCTGGCCCTACGAAGTTTAATTCATTAGAGAGAAACGAGAGAAAGTAAAAGGAACACTGGTAGCTTGAGACAATTAAAATTATGCACTCAGTGAATCATCCTCTAAATGTCTGAAGTCACAAACTATGCAAAGGTAATCACAGATTTGATTTAATTCCTTCATTGTAATTCAGATCAGACAAGAAAGTCAGAGTTCAGTAAAATGGAAATCACAGATGAGCAATCAAAGAGTGAATGTAGTCACAGAAATATTTCTGGTTGGGTTCCAGCCATCCATTGGAGCTTTGCTGTCAGTGCCACCTATTATATCTCCTACGTTCACACTTTAGAAGTTATGAGTAATCTTCACTTTTAAGTTTATTTATTATTTTTTGTGGTCCATTACTTCATAGAAGGGAGGTTTCATAGGCTTGGATTACTGATCTTTTTTTCCTTGTACTAATGCATCCCAATACCTGTGATAGTGAAATACCTCAACACATGAAAGTTGTAGAATGAGCTTAGGTTAATAAATACTTAACAGTGTCGTGAGATTTGTTCTATTACCAGTGGCTTAGTAACTGAGACATCACTTTAAAATACTTATGAAAGTTAATCAGAGGATCATTTCAATATTCAGGATTAAATTCTACTGCAACATAGCATCATCCTTCAAAATTAGTAATATAAACCTCATTAGGGTTTAGAGTATATATGCATTAAATTAGGAAATTAGCTTCAGAAAGAAGCTATGCTTAACATGGTTTTTGAAAAACCATATGGGAGCTGTGTTTTTGTGAAGATATTATCTTTTAGTATAAGGTAGAAACCACAGAAAGCCTTTGTAGCTCATCACCTAATAGGTGCACTCTGTATTGCATAACACAGCATTCAGACTCATTTGAATGGCTTCAGGTTGATTTGTGGCAAGCGTTATATTAGACTCGTGTATTGAATATGACTATTTTCATCCATTACGACCGTTATGAAATCCCTACTATGTATTGTGCTAAGTGTCTTATGTACACCAGTGGTTCTGAATGGGGACAATTTTGCCTTTCAAGGGTCAGTGGGCAGTGCCTGGAGGCATACTTGGTTGTCATAAGTGGGGAGGGGATTTTTTAACTGCATCTAGGTGTTAGAGGTCAGAGTTGCTGCTAAACACCCTAAAGGCCCAAGGTAGTCATCCCTAGACCAAAGAATGACTGAGCCCTAGACATCAATAGTTTTGAAGTTCAGAAACTTTGATGTACACCATTTTATTTACTCCTCCAAGCAACACTGAGCAGCAAATAATATTAAAATGATCTCTTCCTTACAAATGGAGAAATTAGAGCTTGTACTGGTTGAAATAACCAAGGATCAGCATCCCTAATTGGCTGAGCTGGCCCTTACTTAACTCCAAAGCTGTGCTTTTAAGAATTATACGGAACAGTGCTCCATGGATAAAAAAAAAATCAGGGCAGGGTGGGGGTGGGGGAATCTGTGAAAGCAGGTGGATAACAAATCAAAAATAAATTGTTATCACATAAAGCATTCAGGGAGGAAAATACAGAGAGGATAAAGCAGAAATAAAACGATGCTAAGAACAGATGGTACTTTTATGGATATATCAAGAGAAAATGGGGCTAGAGAAAGAAATAGAGCAGCTAATAAATAAGGGGGAGCTCTAAAATGGATGAAGAAAAAAGCATGCAATCCTGAGCTCTAAAACCTAACTCTCCCACAGGAAATAGATATGAACAAGTTGGGAAATGGTGAAGAAAAAGTTATTGATTGCAAGCAGCTCAGTAGAAATGTGAAGTGGTGTCTGTATAGGCTTATATGGTATTATGCAGTAGGCTCACAAACTACTGAATCACTTAGAATGATATATGGATGAGTTTTTGAGATTTGAGGAGACTACAAAAATTTGAGGGAAGTAAATGCTGTAATGATGCTTAAGGACTCAGAGAGATTGTGAAAGGGCTTATTATTAGACTCCATCAGAACTTTGCTTGAGTGTTATGTAGTAAGAAAAATCAATATGAATTGATCACCATGGACCCTGTCTAGAAGAGGATTAGGCACTGAAATACCGAAAAGCTCTCCTTATGAGATGGTTCATATGTAAAGTTACTCTACAATGGGCCCAAGGACTGGGTGTGAACTTGACAGCTGTGCTTTGTTAATGCATCTATTAGACTGTGTAAGGCTCAGTTTAAAATTACAAATTGCAGACTGTGAAGAGCATGGTGAAACACTTTTAAAGGAGTAGTTGTAAGGACAAATTTTCCATGAGTTAAGCCACGAAGAGAGTACATCTCGACTCCTAGAAACTGGAGATGCCAAGCTTTTACATTTTTTGATGCATTATTGTAGAGTCTCAAAGTTTTCCTAATAGCTAACATAAACTTCCCTCATGCACTCTAAATTCATTTCATCTTGTTCTTTCAGGAAAAATCAGAAGTGCAATAATTACAATGTTCCCAAAGACTATACCCCTTCTCCCATTCCCCTTTATGTTCCAATTACTTGGGCTACTTGTAGTAGCCTTACTCTAACTAAGCTTTAAATAATTTCAATGAAATGTATGTTTTAAAGTTATAAATTAATAGCTGTTATAAAATGTCAAATAATACAAATATACATGATAGGAAGTACATTTATTTATTTAACATTTAGTTCTTAGTGAATATTTGGGTTACTTTTAGTTTTGCTCTTAAAATGATGCTCAAATGAAAAGACCTATATATCTATTTTTATAGACTGTGGTTTTGCTTGGCAAACTCTTAGTTGTAATAGCTATCAAAATGCCCTCAAAATGATGCAACTAATTCTAATGAAGAGAGTATGAAAATATTTCTTTCTCCTTGCTAATAAAAAATAATGTTAATGCTAATCATAGAGTAATGGTAACCGCTAAAATTTACTGTTTAGTATGTAATAAACACTATTCTAAACATTGTTCGCTACCAAACATATTATAAAGCTTTACTATTTACCAATAAGATAGACAAATCTATTTTCTACCTTTATTTTACAGATCCCTGCATTTTGTGTCATTTATAAGTCAGAAATCATGTTAGCTAGAATAACTTTTGTCTATTTGAAGATAGCAAAAATATTTTTCTATATTTTATTTTGGCTTCATCATGTGCTTGTTTGGACCATTACTAATGAGAATGGTCTTCGTGGCAA